TCTACAGCTCACAAGATCCGGGTTCGCCCCACCGTAGTGCCTTTTAATCTTGACTTTTTAATTTTTTTACTCTAAATAGCTCGCTTACAATGTATTCTAAGGTTTTCTAAAGAAGTTTTAGCTTTATTGGTGAAAAGAGGGATGAGAAAATGCTTGAAAATAGATAGGCAGACAGACGCTGCTTTTTTATAGATAATTTTTATTCGAAAAAACGCCGCCCCCCTCGACCAACTTTAGACGTCTCTTTCTCAGCCCCATTTTGAGAGATTTTTATGTCTAATATACCAAAAGATAGCCCTTAATGTCTTCAATCATTTGGTATATTAAACATGAAAGTATCACAAAAAGGGGCTAAGAACGAAGCGCCTAAAGTTGGTTGACCTATTCGACCTCGACCTCGACCCCTTGACCAACTTTAGACGTCTCTTTTTCAGCCCCTTTTTGAGAGATTTTTATGTTTAATATACCAAATGATAGAAGACATTAAGGGCTATCTTTTGGTTTATTAGGCATAAAAATCTCTCAAAATGGGGCTGAAAAAGAGACGTCTAAAGTTGGTCGAGGGGGGCGGCGTTTTTTTCGAATAAATCCGGTATTTACTAATAAAGATGAGGATAATAGACAATTATTACAAATAAGGATTACAAAGTTTTTTACAGAATCTGCCTTATCCTTAGAAGAATATCTGATTTCATTGCTTAGAATTAGAAGATTTTATCAGCCCCAGCAAGTGCTCTCACCAGGTTAAGGTCCATCAAAGAAATGGTGAGGAAGAGAGAGAGAGAAAAGACAGAAAAGACAGACGAAAAAAGGGGTACAAAAGCCTCTATTTGTGCAACGAATCGAGTCTAACACATGGCCACTTTTTGACGTGTTAGGCATCCTCTTTTGATGGCGCTGAATGGCCATGTATTTGTGTGGATTGGTTGGCACCTCTTCAACCCGTCCCACACATTCAAGAGAAGGCTGGACCCTGACGTGAACCCTCAAGAGTGCCCGGGTTGGTCTCATTCTTTTCTTTTATTTGAAAATTTATTGATTATTTGTAATTTGTGGATTTCGTCTTGCTGTTGTTCTCAATTTTGGGATTTTCAAGCTTTTAAGCTTTCAAGCTAGCTGGGATTTTTAAGTTGAGTCAAAAGTTGATTCAAAAAAGTTGACTTAAAAAGTTTTTCCCTACTTTAAACCATTTCCATTTCGTTTCCCTGGTCTTTAAGCCGTTTCCTTTAACATTTCCTGGTGTACTTTGTGCTTAAAAATGTAAACAAAAGCCTTTTGGCGTACTCGATTTGTTTGCTTTTAATGATTTAATGATTTTTTTGATTTAATTTGTCTAAAGTTTAACTTGTCTAAAGTTTAACTTGTCTAAAGCTTGTTAGAGGTATTAAAATACTGTAAATACTGTAATAGTACTCCACCCGCTCGTACAGTCGCGTAGTCGCAAAAGTTTTTTAGCATTTTTTCAAATTTTTTTTGCATTTTTTTCGCATTTTTTTCAAAGCGCCCGTACTTTCAAAAAATGCGTCTTTGGTATCAAAAAATAGCCCTGAATTTCAGCTATTTTTTGATACCTGAACGAGCATTGTAGCATAAACCAGTGTCGAGAAAAATGCGTTCAAAGTTAGACTACGCGATGCCCGTCTTTGATACAAAAATAGCCCTGAATTTCAGCATTTTTTGATACCTGACGGCATTGTAGCATAAACCAGTGTCGAGAAAATGCAAGTAGACTACGCGATGCTCCGTCTTTTGATACAAAAATAGCCCTGAATTTCAGCTATTTTTTGATACCTGAACGAGCATTGTAGCATAAACCAGTGTCGAGAAAAATGCGTTCAAAGTTAGACTACGCGATGCTCCGTCTTTTGATACCAAAAAATAGCCCTGAATTTCAGCTATTTTTTCAGCTATTCAGCTATTCAGCATGGGTTTTTGATTTTTTTGACCAGCACAGAAGCTAGAACCAGCTAAAGACAAAGATTGAATCGTCGGTGAAAAACGAGAGCTCGATTTCGGAATGATCGTTCTTCAGCGGAAGATTTTAATCGTACCTCTTTTCTCTTTCTTCTTTTTCCTATTCTCCATTCGTTTTTTTCTCAATTCAATCAAAAAAGCAATCGATTTTTAAAAAGAATCTCTAAATCTTTGATTTTAAGCATTCATTAAAGCTTTCACAAGGTTTTTACTTGTAAAAACTTCACAACTTTAAACTTTAAACTTTCCTCCTTGTACTTTCCACCTTGTACTTTCTACCTTGTACTTTCCACCCTGTACTTTCTACCTTGTACTTTCTACCTTGTACTTTCTACCTTGTACTTTCCACCTTCTACTTTCCACCTTGTACTCTCTACCTTGTACTTTAAACTAATTTCTGTAAACCCACCCTCTCTATTGCAGTCTATTGCATAATTCATTTTTTTTCTTGTAGTATTGTACTACAAGAAAAATACTACAATACTACAAGAAAATCAAGAATTAAGTCCACTAGAGAGGTTTCGTTTACGGATTTGAGCATAAAGTAAACAAAGTCTGGCTTTGTTAAGCGATTTCCAGACAAAAATATGCCCAGTTTTTAGCGGGAGATTCTGTGAGACACGTCATTCGACTCAGAAAAATGTGCTGATTCCGAAAATTGATGTGTTTTTAAAATTCATGCAATAGATTTTCAGAAATTGAAATTTTAAAGAAATGTTAGACAGGAGTTTCCCTTTGAAGCCGTGCAAAATGCTTAGCAATTCGCAAAACCGTTACCATAATACCTCTAATAGTAGCCTTATAATGACGGTCGGAGCATCGCGTAGTCTAACTTTAAACGCATTTTTCTCGTCCCCCGTTTATAATAACGGTCGGAGCATCACGTAGTCTAACCTTAAACGCATTTTTCTCCAGCTACAGCTACTTAAGCTACAGTGTTCGCTCGTGATTTTTTCGCGTCATTTTTGCAATATTTTTTTTTGCCTTTATGTACGGTCTTTTTTTTCCCAAGTGTGCTTTTTAAAAAACGCATTACTCGCGAGGAACACACTCTAGTTTTCTGAATTTCTGAATTTCTGAATTCTTCAGTGCACCAGAATGCATGCGTTTAAAGCGTTTTGAGCTGAAAATACCCTCTAGAAAAGCTGAGTTTGAGTTTTGTATCGAAAAATTTGTATCCCTAGAGTGTTTCGGGGGGTGCAAATCCGCTTGTTTGTCGGCGAGATTTGCGCACTGTTCGCACTGCGATGGGGGGAATATTTCGCGCGCGGAAAAGCATAAGGGGGAAAAGTTTAGAATTAGAAAAAGCCTCTTTTCAGGAGAAAATCGCCTTTTTCCTGAGTTTTCTTTTCCTTTCGGACATGTGTTCACACCAATTCTCTTTTCCTTTTTTGCTTTTAAATCCTTTTTTCCACTATAACCAATTGCAGAAAAGTTCCAAAAGCTTTACAGTATGATTTTCGAATTTAATTCATTTTCTAAAGCATGTCCCTTTCGAAAACATGTCTAAACATGTCTAAAACAAGTCTAAACATGTCTAAACAAGTCTAAACATGTCTAAAACAAGTCTAAACATGTCTAAACATGTCTAAACATGTCTAAAACATGTCTAAACATGTCCCTACCGTAATCTTGTCTTCATTTTTATCCAATCTATCATAAAAGCTCTAATAGAAGCCGTCGCATCTCATTTTCTTGACACCAGTATCGTAAGAAGCGTCGCATCTAAGTTTACTCTCAAACAAATACGGCAATATGTTCATTTTTTTCTGTTTTTGAGCCATCTTTCATACCAAAATCTCTCGTTGTGCAAATAGTGAGCTCGATTTTTTTTCAAGCAAACTTCTGTCAGCTTTCAGGCTAGATTGTTTTAAATTTATTGAAAGATTTTTTTTGCTAGCTTTTTTTGCAGTTTTCTTTTGCTTGTCTCTAATTTTCTCTATTGCACCCTAGCGAGCCGGGTTGGTGACTATTTTACCGTTTTCAAGCTTTTGCAGAAGCTCAACACTCAAATCCTCCACTAGATCTCATCGTCCGACTTTTGGTTAGCCGTCCTGCGGTTGAGCCGAGTTGATGCCTATTTTCTCGTTCCCAATTTTTCCCAGAAGCTCAAAATGCTAATCATCGTCAAGATCTCATCGTCAGCTACATTTTCCGCCCACACATCGATAGATTCTGATAAGGGGTTCTCGAGATTTCGAGGAATTAAGGAAAGCGAGCTTCGAGGAAGCGGGATTAGGGAAAGCAATGAACCGAAAGTTGCGTTTTGACTAAACAAAACCCAAGTTTTGTCGATTGATCGAGTTCTTAACGTTAGCTGAGCTAAGAATTTGCTACTGAAAGTTTAAAGAATTACCGTATTCTTTCTAATAGTAGTGCACCGCGCTGAGCCGAGTTGATGACGATTTTACAGTTTCTAAGCTTTCACAGAAGCTCTAAATTCTAAATTTGGTTCCTCATCTCTCTAAATTTGGTTCCTTCTCTCTAAATTTGCAAATATGCCAAATATCTCGCGATAGAGAAGCGTTTGGCAAAAACTGATTGCAGATTCGGAATCAGCGTGAAAAACTGCATCAGAGAGGCTATTTTCCGAGTCAATCGGCTATTCAAAAGCCACGATAAGTTAACAACATTCCCTAGTAAGCGCTGGTTAATGCTAAAAATTTATGTAATAGCTTAAAAAATCATCCATTCTTTGGTTCACTCTGTAGGGTGACTTTTATTTGTTTTTACAATGTTTTTACAATGTCTTTACAATGTTTTTACGCTTTTTTTGATAGAATTCAGGGTTTTACAGTATTTTTCGTTTCATAATTTATATCTTTTGCTTTGTTTGTTGAAAATATCTTTCTTTAAGTCAATTTCTTTTATTTTCTTTTAATTTCTTATTTCCTTTTAATTTCTTATTTCTTTTATATATTTTCCATTTCTTTATTTATTTTCTTTTCTTTAAAACTATATTTTCAGTGAATCAGCGAATCAAAAAGGTATACGCTCACCATTTTACGCGATTTTCGATGAAAACAATGCGATTGCGCCATTTTTGGCTGATGACTTTTGGCCTTTCCGTCACCGCTTTCGTTTGTAAGTTTCTTCAAATCGTAATCGTTTTTTTAAATCAATTTTTAAACTATTGGGTTGGTGAATTGAAGATTGCGGGCTATTGTCATATGTGTGAGACAAGTGTGAGACTCAAAAATGGAGGACTGGAGATGGAGGACTGGAGATGGAGGACTGGAGAAAAATGGAGGACTGGAGATGTCCCAGTTTGAGCACTTTCTTCAAAAGAAACCCATTTTGGTGTTAATGGAAAAGTTGTAGAGAATCAAAAATCAAGCTTATATCCAAATTTTCAGAACGATTCAAAACACTGGTTTTCAAGAAATGCCAAATTTACGAATTTTCACAAAACTTGCAACAAAACTTACATTTTAAGCGAAACTACTAAGTGTATCTTTTTGGAAATTTGGCTATAAGCCTAATTTTTGATTCTCTACAACTTTTCTATTGACACCAAAATGGGTTTCTTTTGAAGAAAGTGGGAAACTGGGACATTCCTCCATTTTTGAGTCTCACACTTGTCTCACACAAAAACCAAAATCCTACCACGAAAGAGGAATCCGCAAATTGCCTGTAAAATGGGCAGAAGTCTTCAATAATAATGGGAGTTGCTGGATAGCAAGACGACCCTTAATACAATCAAAAACAGTGAACAGTTGAAAAAGGTGAATGAATCCCTGAAGAAGAATAGGCCCTCCAAGTCAAAGATCGTTCTCATCCACGACAACGCGCGCTCTCATTTTGCAAAACTGACTCGCTCTAAAATAAATAGCCTTGTTTGGGAACTTTTGGCGCATTCCCCATAAAGTCCGAACCTTTTGATTACTATTTATTCCGGAGCATGAGTAACGAGCTTGCGGGAGAAGACTTCGATTCGGAAGAAGCAGTCAAAAATTAGCTTTGAAAGTTTTTCGATTCAAAACCAAAACCCTACCAAAGAAAGAGGAATCAGCAAATTGCCTGTAAAATGGGCAGAAGTCTTCAATAATAATGGAAACTATTTGGGATGAATTGATGGTTTTATGTTCAATAAATTTTAGTTCAAAGTCCGGCAGTTTTCAATTCACAAAGCTTCAAAAGCTTTCATAGAATCACTTGAAGATTTATCGATTTTATTTTACATTCTATGTAGTTTACAATCGAAAACTTTAGTCACTCAATCTGTAGAGGAGACTTTTGATGGAGAAATGCGGAAACAAGCGATTCGTGATCCGATAAGAGATTTGGCTGATGATTTTCCCCGAATATCCACTGGTGTCAGCAGAAATGCAAGGATTGGAGCTCAGGTTTATTGTTTTTCTTGCTTTATTTTTGTTCTTATTGTTTTTATTGTTTTTATTGTACTTATTCTTTGTTAGTTTCCTAAAAAATCTCATTTTTTCTCGAATACCGTAATCTTGTCTCTATTTTTATTAAATTTAATGTCTTTTTTGTATTTAATGTAATTTCTGACAAGCATATTAAGATCTAAAGAGTGAATAAATTCAATAAAAGAATAGACAAGATTACGGTAGTTTTAGGGGAGTTTTAGGGGAGTTTTCTAGAAACTTCTAGAAATAGAACTCGATTATAAAATCAAATTTCAGAGTCCGGTCGAAAATCAGCCAAAAGTGTGGTCATCAAACATTTCACCATCATCGCAAAAGAAGGTGAGAAGAACTATTTTCTTTTTGATATAGATTTTCCCTTGTTTTCCCTTGTTTTCTCATGTTTTTCAGATGAAAAAGATGATTTGATTTAGGAAATCTTAAAGATCGAAAGTGCGAACAGTGAAGCGGTGGAAAGGAGGAGAAAAGAAGAGAGAATTGTCGCCAATTCCCGGCAAACAACTGAGCAACCAGTGGACGAGGATGAGGTTAAGATTTGAAAAAATATATAAATAAAAACGTATTGGAACCGTATTGGAAACGTGCTGGAGCCGTATTGGGACCTTATTGAAACTGTATTGAAACCGTATTGGAACCGTATTGGATCATAATAGGAACCGTATTAGAAACGTTTTGGAACCGTATTGGAACCGTATTGGAACCGTATTGGATCATAATAGGAACCGTATTAGAAACGTATTGGAACCATATTGGAACCGTATTGGATCATAGTAGGAACCGTATTAGAAATGTATTGGAACCGTATTGGAACCGTATTGGATCATAGTAGGAACCGTATTAGAAACGTATTGGAACCGTATTGGATAAAAAATAGGAACCGTATTGGAACCGTATTGGAACCGTGTTGGAACATAATAGGAACCGTATTAGAGACGTATTGGAACCGTATTGGAACCGTATTGGAACCGTATTGGAACCGTATTAGAAACGTCTTGGAACCGTATTGAAACCGTATTGGAAACGTACAGTTAATATTTTGAAAAACAAATGAAAAAGAATTATTGAAGAGAAAGGGAAAATTTTAGATTATTTATCAAAAAGCAAGCCTATAAAAGCATTTGGTGACTAGATTTTTTGGTCTCTTGGTTCTCTTGGTTTTTTTTCTCTTGAGGGACTCGAACTCGGATATGTCGAGGTGGTTGACAAGGGTGTTAAACCATTCGGCCATTTGGCAACCTGATTGAGACCTCAAAACACCTATAGATCTATAGATCGCTTGGCCAGGATTGTCCTGAAATTGAGAAAACTGTAATGAAAGTTTTCATTTTTATCAAAAAGAAAATGATGATGATTTGGGATTTAAGGGGTAAATTGGGGGCGAGACCGCTCGGCGTCTTGGCGCACTGGTAGTGGTCCCGGTTCTCGCCTGCTCTCCGAGCGGGCCTCCCTGGTTCGAGTCCGCTCGTCGGTTTTTGTGTTATATTCTATTAAAAATTGATAGCATGCTCATTTTTAAGCTCATCTTTAAGCTCATTTTTGAAAATGTTGTTGTGTACTGTATAGGACACGAAATAGACTGGAGTCAGGTTGAAAATGAGACAGAAATGGATGGATATTGGATGGATATTTTAGAAAACTACCTTAATCCAACCGTCAGTTTTCATTCGATTATCCCAATTTTTGTATCATTTACTTGTATCATTTGTGTTTGATTCCTCGTCGAATCAGACAAAAATCGGGGGTTTTTTTAAGGGAAAAATGAGCAGATTACGGTAAAACAGGTGTCTTTTAGAGAAAACATAACAAAGAAAATAGAGAATAGAAGATAGAAAATAAAAAATAGAGAATAGAAAATAGCAAAGAAATTAGAATTTCCAGGATCCATTCCACCCGGAGAAAGTGACGAAAATCGAGGAAAGTGAGGGAAACGATAATGATTACAAAGATTCAGCGAATCGAGAAGATATTACAGATTATAAAGACACAGAAGTAAGGGGAATTTTCTCAAAACTAGAAAAACTATAATTAAAAATATCTTTAATCTGAAGATCCTTTAATCTGAAGATTCTTTAATCTGAAGAAATTATTCTTTTAGAAAGATTCAGCGCACGAAAATGAGGAAGAAGAGGAAAAAGATGAAGAAGTTGAGGAGGCAACTGTTTCAACGACAGGTAACTGGGATTCATGTGCTCCAACTACTGTAGCCAATTGGATAGGCGTTTTAAAACGTACTCTAGTTACCGCAAGCACTTTAGCCCATGCCCTAGCTACACTACTGGACAATGAAATATCATATTTGAAAGATCATCATTCAAAAAAGATCGTCACTTTTGCGCGTCTGTAACTCCCTTGTCTTTACCGTATTTCTAAATATTAATATTCCCATTGTGTAGCCCTTGAAAAGAGCTTTCAGAAAATGTATAACACTAATAGTTTAAACTCAAAGACAAGGGAGTTACAGACGTCGCGAAAGTGACGATCGTTTTTGCAAATATCATATTTCATTGTCCAGTAGTGTATATTACCGTAACCCAAACTATATCTATAGCGAATCTATAGCGAATCGTCATCTTACATACTTTTGTGGTGCCCTTTCTTCCTTGCTCTTTCTTCCTTCCTCTTTCTTCCTTGCTCTTTCTTCCTTCCTTGCTCCTTCTTCCATTCTCTCTCTTTCTTTCTCTTGCTCCTTCTTCCTTTCTCTTCCTTGTATTTCCTCTTTCTTCTCTGGCGAGAAGATACCGGATAGCTCAGTGGTAAAGCATTTGCCCGATAAGCAGAAGTCAGGCAGCCCAGATCGAGAGTTCAATTCCTCTCGGTTCCAAAGTCTTTACTTTATTAATTTATATTACATAGCTACAGATTACGGTAACTGGGACAAGCTTTAGAACTTCTAGCAGCCTTCAAAGTAGCAGCTAGCAGCTAGCAGCCTTCGAAGTAAACAACATTTTTAGCGGAGCCTTTTGGAAGTGATGAATCGATTTTCAAGTTGAATCGGCCGGGAATTGGAGAGGTTTGTCAGCTGTCGGCTTGACTTTGCGGCCATTTTTCTTGTACTAAACAATAGTTTTTTTTGAAACGTTTTTTATGCCATCATGTAGCTCAATTGAAGAGCTACATTTTGATAGCAGACTTGCCGGTAAATGGTAATTCCATTCGGCACAATCTTCGATTTTACTCAGCAATCTTTATCGTCCGCCTTTCGAGTGTTTTTTTCTCTAAACGTACCCTTTCTGGTGTACTTGTTTCTTGAAAAAACAGGAATTCAGTGCACTAGAAAGGATGCGTTTACAGATTACACAAAGTATCCTTCAAAGAACAAAGCTCGAGTCTGCTAGAATTCGAAAGTAAGTAGAAATTCTTTCAGAAGCCTCTCTTCCCAATGCTTGAACTACCATTAGTGCCAAAAAGTGAGCAAAGCGGGCCAATTGAAGAAGAAATCGAAGAAACTGAGGATTCCGAGGAAAAAATGATCACAAGGACGACAATCGCCGGGAAAAAGATGACATTCATGCCGTTGAGCACCACAAAGAAATTGGTGACTGAAAAAACGACACCGACAATGAAAACCAGCACAACAACTCCATCGAGCACGAGCACGAGCACGAGCACGACAAGCACAACAACTACAACAACTACAACAACTACAACAACCACGACAACTGAGGCAAGCTTTTCTTTTGGCTTTTGAGATGAAAGCTTGTCCTTCAAGGCCAGGACTGCGTTGAGCTGAGCAAAATGAGCACGAGCTTTTGCTCTTTGAGCTCAAATTTTGCTCTTTGAGCTCATTTTTACTCATTTCAGATCAAATTTCCTCAAAAATCCCTTCAAAAAGTTGAAAAATTTGCCCTTACGTCGAGCTCAAGAGAATCAAAGAATTTCATAGGCAAGAACTCGAACTAGATCAGGGTTTTTAGACGCATAATATTAGGCTCATAATATTAGACTCATAATATTAGGCTCATAATATTAGGCTCATAATATTAGACTCATAATATTAGAAACTGATCAAAGTAAAACTTTGCTTTTTAAGTGTAAGTCGATCTCTCAAAAATAGAAAATGAAATACCATTGTCTAAATCATTTAGAGCGCTACTGTATGCTTATATTAGCAAATACTGATTGAGACGAATAATGTGATGCAAATAATACAAAAGCACAATCCTTCAGCCCTTAATCCATATAAATATAGAGAAACTTGCCGATGGCAATCTAGGGTTATGGGTAAACCTCGAGGCATGGGTATGGGTATACCTTGAGTTGAACCCTCGACCTCTCGACTAACAAGAGAACGTTCAGAACCGACCCTGACATTTTGACGCGAAACTTTTGCGACAAAGCTAAATCGATTGCCAGGATTCTTAATCTGTAATCCGTTTTTGCTGACGGACCTTAGTGTTCGAGATATAAGCGTGCAAAGTTTTGACAAATCTCGCCAAACTGCCACCTTGCCTACAACCACAAAGGGGAGAGTGGCGAAATTGAACCCGCGCGCAAAAATGTCAAAAGTTTCGTAGACTAGCGCACTATCCACTAGACAGCCGCTGCTCTTCCATCCTTTGTGGTTGTAGGCAAGGTGGCAGTTTGGCGAGATTTGTCAAAACTTTGCACTCTTATATCTCAAACACCAAGGTCCATCAGCAAAAAGGGATTACAGATTAAGAATCCTGGCAATCGATTTAGCTTTGTCGCAAAAGTTTCGCGTCAAAATGTCAGGGTCGGTTCTGAACGTTCTCTTGTTAGTCGAGAGGTCGAGGGTTCAACTCGAGGTATACCCATACCCATGCCTCGAGGTATACCCATAACCCTAGATTGCCAAATTCGCGTCAAAATGTCACGGTTCTGAAGATACAAGGCTCTTGTCACGGTTCTCTTGTAAGATACAAGGCTCTTAACCAGTAGCTGTCGACGGCTACGATCTGAAAAAACGCGCTAAAATCAAATTCTGTCCTAGAAATTTGGTTAACTTTGTGCACAAAATGCTTTACACAAAGAAATTTTATTGCAAAACTATTTGAGCAATTCCAGGAACTCACCACAACAGCTCAGGAGAGCTCGCTTGAAACAACGAGTGGATCTATAGGTACAGTAGAATCAGAATAAAGATCGCTTTCGAATTCGTATACAAAAATAGTTCAGAAGATCCGGAAGATGAAGAAAACGAGGCTGAGACAGAAATGACAACGACCGAGATTGAGAAAGAGTTTGGGGCAGAGAGCAAAGAAACGGTTGGTTTGTAGCCTCGAAAATACCTCAAAATGCCTCAAAATCTATCAATTTCAGTACTTCTGAATAAAGTATTTAATAGTCATCTTTATTTAATCATCTTTAGACCGTAGCTGAGCCATTATTCAAACCTGGAACAGTGAACTTGTTGCCATTGTTGCCAACGGAGAAAATCGAGTCTTCAAGAATGGTTGATGGGAAAGATGAAGAGATAGAGAGTGGAGAAGTGACGACAATGGCACAGATTGAAGAGGATGAGACAAGCACTGAAGTACGACAAATATACTCTAAATTTGTATCAGTTCTGTATTTGAGACCAGTTTGAGATGTTAGACCAGTTCGACATTTGATACAAGTCAGTTTTCAACTCGATTTCCAGCTTCCAACTCCATCAGCTGAAATTCTCACCTCTGAAGAAACGGCGAGTCCAGAGATGGACACGACAAAGATTGATTTGAATGGAGTGACGACATCGACGGAAAATCAAAACACAGAAAATGGGGAAAACGAGACATCAACAGAAGGAACACAAAGCAATGAAGTGGCTGAAGAGACGTCGACGAGTGTCGAGACGACAAGTAAGCTTTCATTTCCTTAGAATTTCAGACTTTCGTCTAGACTGTACACGGTTACAGTACAGGACAGTACAGGACAGTACAGGACAGTACAGGACAGTACAGGACAGTACAGGACAGTACAGGATAGTACAGGACAGTACAGGACAGTACAGGACAGTACAGGATAGTACAGGACAGTACAGGACAGTACAGGACAGTACAAGACAGTACAGTACCGTAGCCGGGTACTGTAACATGTAACCAAGTACTGTAACAAGAACATAAGAACAAGAGTCTAAAAAGATCCAATTAAGACAGACTACGCTAGCATTCTTTAGAGCCAGGCGTTTGGAAAGAGTAAGATGTCTGTCTGTCCGTCCGTCCGTCGGTCTGTCCGTCTGTCTGTCCGTCTGTCCGTCCGTCCGTCTGTCTGACCGTCTGTCCGTTCGTCTGTCTGACCGTCTGTCCGTCCGTCTGTCTGACCGTCTGTCTGTCCGTCCGTCTGTCTGTCTGATTAAAGATAGAAAGTTTCTGGCAAAGATTACTGTAACAAAACTAGGTTGGTGATAGGATATGTAAAGATGAAATCATAAAGATTTAGACTAGGTTATGGTAGTTAGATCCAGTTTTACACCTGAGTACGGAGCTGCCAACTGAGCGGTAACTGAGCTGCCACTTGAGTACCGTTTTACACTTTAAAAACATCTTAATACTCTTGATACTTTACGACACTTGTAACATAAAAAGCAACAAAATTTGGCAGCAAGCGGAATTGAACCCGCGAGGAAAATCGGCTAGATTTCGGAATCTAGCAAACTATCCCTTAGGCCACCGCTACTTTGTCAAAAGTTATAAGCGCTCAAATTTTTGTATGAAAACGCAGAAAACAAGCCCTAAGTTGACTTGCCAGAGAGTTGACAAGCAAAAACAAAAGTCAACCGTCGGACTCGAACCCTAGGGTCCTTATCTCGTATTCAAGCCTACTGTCACTCAACCGCCACATCTTTTCCGCTCTGGTAAGTCAACTGATAAACTGCGATAAACCTGTTTTCTGCGATTCCATAAAAAACTTGAGTGCTTATAACTTTTGCCAGAGTGCTGCGTTGCAAAAACGGAAAGCAAATTCGGAATCAGCGCAAAATTCTACGTCGGTTAGTATATGGCCCATGTCATTTGACCACCACACTCTGTTGACATTCCCTACAAAGTTACTGGGTGATGCTTTAGAATACTTGCCAGAGTTCGGAAGTTTGCAATTAATTTTTTCAGCACTCATCGCCTCTCGTGCTTCATTCGCTTTGCGTGTGCTCTCAGTGGAGTTCTTCAATGATTTCCTCGATCAAGAAAGTGGAAAGAGTCGAAAGTTGAGAGAGCAAGTCTTGCCACCGGTTGGTTTTCACGTTTTCTGACAAATCAACAAATTTCAATCCTAAAGATACTGTTAAGATAAAAGTCAGACAGTTTTGCAAAAGTGCAGAAGGTGAGCCTTGCTTTCATTGTTTCCATTCAACTCCGCAAACCATCTAATAGTTAGTTTTGGCCTTCATTGTGATCGGGCTACGAAAGGTTCCGGATTCTCCACTCGGCTCCCAAATGGAAATAGATTGCTTTCTCATTTCAACACAAAATCTATAGCTTAAAATAATATTTTCAATTAATCTGACAAAAACAAAAACAAACAAACAAAAACAAACTAACAAAAAACAAACCAAACCAAAAAAAAACAAATGATTTGCAAATGAAAAAGAAACGACGGCGCGGCGCTCCCATCGACTATCTCCAAATGGCGGTGACGTCAATTGGAATGCGATGTCGTCGGCTCCAAAATGGAAATAGATTGCTTTCTCATTTCAACACAAAATCTATCGCTTAAAATAATACTTTCAATTAATCTGACAAAAACAAAAACAAATAAAAAAAAACAAACAAACAAACAAACAAACAAACAAAAACAAACTAACAAAAAACAAACAAACCAAAAAAAACAAATGATTTGCAAATGAAAAAGAAACGAGGACGCGGCGCTCCCATCGACTATCTCCAAATGGCGGTGACGTCAATTGGAATGCGATGTCGTCGGCTCCCAAATGGAAATAGATTGCTTTCTCATTTCAACACAAAATCTATCGCTTAAAATAATACTTTCAATTAATCTGACAAAAACAAAAACAAAAACAAACAAAAAAACAAACAAACAAACAAAAACCAACAAACAAACCAAACCAGCAAAAAACAAATGATTTGCAAATGAAAAAGAAAAGACGACGCGGCGCTCCCATCGACTACCTCCAAATGGCGGTGACGTTAATTGGAATGCGTCGTCGAGCGAAAATTAACATTTAAAATTTGTGACAGAAATTCAAATTTAACATGAAAACGTCTCGAAAAACATATTTTATCTCTTTTTTCTCTCTACTACACTTCTAGGACTCGAAATTTCTGAAAATTTCTTGAAAATCAGCCGGTTTTCAGCTCCGCGAACTTTTCTCAACCATTTTGGACTCATTTGTGAATGTCGAGGTTGAAAATGTTCAACGAGGGAAATCAGGTAAATGAATTGGAATTGTAGATAAGTTATTTTGCTCAAAAGTTATTTCAAAAGAAGTTATTTTCTTGGGTTTTTCCAAATTTCACAACAGCAGGAGTCGTTCTGAATGGAGTGATCTACACAAAGCGATCGATTGACGATCCGGAAGCGATCGCTACAAGGTTGAGAATAGTTAATAGAATAGATTTCTAAAAACTTTATATAATTCTTAACACGTTGACGACAATGACGTTTTTGCACAAACAATCGCATGGGACAACGTTGTTTTTTTTCGACAAAAAACCTCGTCATCTGAAATTGTCACCTAAAAAATTAAAATTTTAATAATCAACGGTTAAATCGACATTTTCCGGGACCAAGTCGAATATAGATACTACCCTACTTGCTTATTTAATATCCATCATCAGCATCATCACAAAAAAATCAATTTTGGTACTGTCACCTGACATCAGGTGACAATGTCAGGTGGCAATGTCCCAGGCGAACGAATATGTGTCAGACAGCATCAGGTGACAATGTCGTCAACGTGTTAAATTGCTTATTAGTTTATTAAACTTATTTGTTTATTAAACTTATTAGTTTATTAAACCATTCTTAAGCTTATTATCAGTTATCAGTTATCAGTTATCAGTTATCAGTTATCAGTTATCAGTTATCAGTTTTTAAACTTAAATCATAGTTTTTTAATGAATCATCAACGTAAAAAAACAAATTAAACCTTAAAAAAACTCTTTTCAATTCAAAAATACTTGTTTATATCTAAAAATCGAATTAAAAAGTCAAGTTTATCTGGATTTAGTAGAGATTTTAAATTTTAATCTAAAGTAATTGTGTATCATTTTTTAGATTAGATGAGTTGATGTTACAACGAGAAGGCGTTCTTGGCGAGCACGTTGTTGAGCCACACTCAATTCATATCAATGGTCAGTTCCAGTTTTTGATGCAAAGAAATTTTGAGAGAAAAGATTGACTATTGAATTTGAAATTATCATTGAAAAGTTCAAGATTTCGAATGAAATTTTAAAAGATTCCTGAAAATAGGTTTTTTTAAACCTATTTAAACATATTTAAACCTATTTCAAATTTTTAAACCTAAAAACTCCGCCTCTTTTTCTCATCTAACTTTGACCCCGAATTTCTTGACCTACAATTATCCGATTGAAACAATTTTTGGATTATTAAACTCGTCAAGTCTTTTTCTATCGATTGATATCAAAACTATTTCAATTGGACAATTGTGAGCCAAGAAATTCAAGGTCAAAGTGAGACGGTCACTCATTCTCGGACAATAGATCCGCCCCTTTTTTGCCAACTTTGATCTAGAATTTCTTGACCTACAATTATCCGATTAAAACATTCTTGGTATCATTAAACTCGTCAAGTCTTTTTCTATCAATTGATACCAAAACTATTTCAATTGGACAATTGTGCGCCAAGAAATTCAAGGTCAAAGTTAGATGGTCCAGAAAATCTTTTTGTCCCTTTTGTACTTCTATTTTAAACCAACAAATGCATAAATTAATTTGTTGTTTTGACATTTGATAAGAAAAAAATAAATATTGGCTTTAAGTTAAGGATAATGTGCTTAATAAACGTTAAACTCTTAAACTTAAACTTAACGTTAAACTCTAAACTCTCAAAAAGCGTTCTAAACAAATTTGAACCAAAATTTGGAATAAAAAACCCGTAAAAACACAATTGGTGGTTGCAGCGAATGGATAAACACTTGAAATTCTTTACTTTTCAGATGTGCCATCGAAATCGATTCTCTCCGCATCGGGAATGGTGCCAGGAGTCCAAGGTGATCAGGGAATGCCCTCATCCGATACTCCACTCATCCTCGCGTTGGTTCTTCTCGCGCTACTCGCCATCATTGTCGTCTCAATTTGTGTGATCATTGTAAGTCTTGGCTTCCCTTTTCTGCTTCCTTTTCTGCTTCCTTTTCAGCTTCCTTTTCACTTACATCACTTTGTCTCACTGTTCCGCTTTACTAAAAGATAGCTCCAGAAAAAGTTACCGGAATCCTTGCCGTTACTGGAATCCTTGCCTGTTACCTGAATCCTTGCTGTTACTTGAATCCTTGCCGTTACCGGAATCCTTGCCGTTACTGGAATCCTTGCCCTTACCGGAATCCTTGCCGTTACTGGAATCCTTGCCGTTACTGGAATCCTTGCCGTTACTTGAATCCTTGCTGTTACCTGAATCCTTGCCGTTACCTGAATCCTTGCCGTTACTGGAATCCTTACTGTTACCTGAATCCTTACCGTTACCTGGAATCTTTCTAAGCTTAGCTTTAACACAAAACTGCTAAATCTCTTTTACCACATCTTTTACCACCTTTTCTACCGAATCTTTATTTCTACCGTAAGAGCTTCACTCGCTTACTCACAAATCGCTTGCTAAATCGCACTCAATTCAGCACCGTTCCCATTTCACGTCGTGTCCATTCCCTGACGACGCTTCCGACTATCCATTCGTCACGATTTTTGTTTGTTTTTAACACTTAACAACCTGAGAACATTTCAATTCAAATCACCTAACCAAAAATCGAAGCTAGCAAATCTAAAGATAAGAATTTAAGATGAACAATCGAAGAAGTAGTGGCTCATCGAAAATCAATGGCAACGGTGGAGCGACAGGGAGCAGTGATCTTCCGTCAAGAACCGAGCAAGGATTGCACGCGTACGCGAACCCGAATGTCAACTTGTTAGTGAGAAATGAGGGGGAAATGATCGATGTCTTGTTAAATTTGTTAAATGTGTTAAATGTGTTAAATCTATCTTTTTAAATCACTTATGTCAAGTCAACAATCTAGTCTAATACTAGAGTGATGAAACTTGTTAGGAAATGCTTTGAGCCAGATTTATTAAACCCCAAGAAACTAGCTGCATTGTTACTGACATAACGTAGTAACATTTTGAATCGGGTACGGTTATGTCAGCCTATCAGCCTGTCAGCCAGTATAACTGCACAGTAATCCAGCGGATTGTACCCAATAACCCTGATTCGTGTACTTTAAGCCAAGTACAGTTACCCTTGATAACTCCACGCTGGTACCGTACTCCACGCTGGTACTCGAAAGTACAGTAATCATGTAGTACCCCAAGTACAGTATCTTTGTGCTAACCTGATGCAAGTACAGTATCTGAGGCTGGCGGTGGATCTGGATCTGGCTGTGCATCTGGATCTGGATCTGGCGGTGCATCTGGATCTGGATCTGGCGGTGCATCTGGATCTGGATCTGGATCTGGTGGTGCATCTGGATCTGGATCTGGCGGTGCATCTGGATCTGGATCTGGTTGTGCATCTGAATCTGGATCTGGCTGTGCATCTGGATCTGGATCTGGATCTGGCGGTGCATCTGGATCTGGATCTGGTTGTGCATCTGAATCTGGATCTGGCTGTGCATCTGGATCTGGCTGTGGATCTGGATCTGGCTGTGCATCTGGATCTGAATCTGGCGGTGGATCTGGATCTGGTGCCAGACCTGCTATTACAATATTTAGGAAAAATTTGTTAGATAGAGTTGGTGTTATCGGTAACAATCGATCATTTCCCTCATCACTTAATGAAAATAGTTGATGGGATTGTTGATTGTTTAACAGTTTTGCTTCAGGACCTCCTATGCGTCTGGTCACGCCGGTGGCGCTCCCCCCGGTCTCACCAGACATTATGACGCCCACGCACACAATCAACCAACCACCATGGTCAGTTGAAATTTGTAAATAGGACAATTGGGTTTCTTTCTAAATTATTGATTTGTAAATAGGATAATTGCGTTTTCTAAAAGCCTAGAAAACTTGAAAACTTGTTTTTCTTTTCTTTTTCTTTTACAACAATTTCAATCTAGAGACATCTACAACTCTAGATGGAAACAAGTATTTTTATATCATATTATATTTTATATCATAGTTTTTAATATCATATTAGAATAGAATAAACTCAATCAAACCAATGTCGAATAGAAAATAGATTACGATAGCAAAATATAGCTACAATAGCTTCTATGACTTCTATTCGGCACTTTGATGATAAGAAAGTTTAGAGCAAGCTTAGAGCAAGCTTAGAGCAAGCACTTTTTAGTTTTTAGTTTATTTTTACACTTGCACCTTCGTGATAGTTTTGTTAACAAAGTTAGTACGGTTACACGAGTATAAGTAGCCATAAGTAGCCACTAGAAACTAGTAAAAACTAGAAAAATTGGACAGTTGAGCACCCAGAAATTTGAGCGCAAAGTTATGGCAATGACAAAAGGGTTGGGATGGCCTTTTATACGCGAAGCCCCGCCCCTTTTCCCACTGGCTAAGTTTGAACACAGATATCTTGGTGCTCAGCTGTCCAATTTTTCTAGTTTTTGTACCAATCGATAGAGAAAGACTTGGCGAATCTAATGATATTAAGAATATTTGAATTGAACAGCTGAGGACTAAGAAATTTGAGTTTAAAGTTATGGCAATGGAAAAGGGGTACTTTTATCCTCGAATCTGTCTTTAAGGATATAAATATATAAAAATTGACTCTGGTTAGGATTATTCTTCGATGAGCTCTTATCATCCATCGGCGTATGCCTCGTGGACACACGAGAATCATTTGATTGAATCGATGAATCGCGGATCCGAGTCTCCATTCGCTGAAGGATATCGACGATACGAACCGCATTATTAAATTGAATATTCTTTTCAAATATTCAACTCAAATCTTCTATTCAAATCTTCTATTTGAATTTATTGAAAGATTCTCTCAATTGATTCAACACAATCTACGCTTTCACTTGGTGAGAATTGAGGAGTGAGAATGGGGATTGTTGTGACTGCCTGGAAAGCTAATATTCGATCAATTTCGATCAATTTCGATTTCTAACTTTCTCTTAAAACTTAAAACTCTTTTTTCTTTTGATAAAGTGGATTAAAAGAGCTTTTACTAGACTTTTAACGAAAATTTTTGTTTCTTCCTTTTTACCGGTGACAATTTAAGCTTTTTCTCAGCATCAATCCTTCGATTTTATCTATTTTTAATATCATTCGATGCAGAATAAAATTGTACGCATCGAATGATACCAAAATTGACTCAAAATCTAATATGTACACAAAGTTATGAGGCAAAAGGTTAAGTATAGTCGGAGTTTCGATTTTTGCCTCATAACTTTGTTTAGATATTAGATTTTGAGTCAATTTTGGTATCATTCGATGCGCAATTTTATTCTGCATCGAATGATAGTAATAATAGATAAAATTGAAGGATTGGTGCTGAGAAAAGACGAAAAAGCAACGACAAAAAAGAACCGACAGATGTTTTCGTTACAAGTCTAGCGCTTACTATTAGAAGAAAGCTACAGATTAC